TGTCCCCCCAGGAGCAGACGACGTTCATCTGCGTGTGCATCGCCGAGTTCCTGTCGCTGTACGAGACGGAGCGGCTGATCCAGGAGCTGGCCAAGTGCCGCATCGACACGCACAACATCGTGGTCAACCAGCTCGTGTTCCCCGACCCCGGCCGGCCCTGCCGCATGTGCGAGGCGCGCCACAAGATCCAGGCCAAGTACCTGGACCAGGTGAGGGCACCTGGGGGGTTAAAAAGGGTTTGGGGCAAGTACCTGGGTCAGGTGAAGGCACCTGAGGGGTTAAAAAGGGTTTGGGGCAAGTACCTGGGTCAGGTGAAGGCACCTGAGGGGGAGCTGGGGGGATTTGGGGGGTTAAAAAGGGGTTTGAGTGAACACCTGGGGGTGTGGGGTGGGATTTCAGGGGTTAAAAAGGGGTTTGGGGCAAGTACCTGCACCAGGTGAGGGCTCCTGGGGGTGTGGGGTGGGATTTGGGGGGTTAAAAAGGGGTTTGGGGCAAGTACCTGCACCAGGTGAGGGCTCCTGGGCATGAAGGGTGGGATTTGGGGGGTTAAAAAGGGGTTTGAGTGAACACCTGGGGGTGTGGGGAGGGATTTCAGGGGTTAAAAAGGGGTTTGGGGCAAGTAACTGCACCAGGTGAGGGCACCTAGGGGGGAGCTGGGGGGATTTCAGGGGTTAAAGAGGGGTTTGGGGCAAGTTCCTGGAGCAGGTGAGCGCTCCTGGGGGGGAGCTGGGGGGATTTCAGGGGTTAAAAAGGGGTTTGGGGCAGGTACCTGGACCAGGTGAGGGCACCTGGGGGGATTTTGGGGCTTCAAAAGGGGTTTAGGATAAATATTTGGACCAGGAGAGGGCACCTGAAGGGTTAAAAAGGGGTTTGGGGCAAATACCTGCACCAGGTGAGGGCTCCTGGGGATGTGGGTTTTTTGGGGTTTTTACTGGGTCTTTTATTGGGTTTTTATTTCATTGGGTTTTACTGAGTTTTTATTGGGGGTTTGGGGGTTTTTTTTGAGGGTTTTTATTGTTTTTTATTGGATTATTTTGAATATTTTTGGTTATTATCCGGATTGGCCCCGCCCACCCTGGGGAGGAGCCAGCCCCGCGGGGCGGGGGATGGGCATTCCACCCCGGGGGGGGATTTTATTTATTTTTTGGGTGGGGGTCTCACCGGGGGGGGGTCTCACCGCGCCCCCCCGCAGATGGAGGATCTCTACGAGGATTTCCACATCGTGAAGCTGCCGCTGCTGCCCCACGAGGTGCGGGGGGGGGACAAAGTCAACACCTTCAGCTCCCTCCTGCTGGACCCCTACCAGCCCCCCAGCCCCAAATAACCCCCCCGGGACCCCAAAAACCCCCCCGG